GAACCCGCCACCTTAGGTGTATGTGGCTGGTGCCTTAGCCATTTGAGCCACAGGTGCCAAGCCTTTTTTTTTTTTTGGAGAGAATCTTAGAGGACCAATGAACTTCTATAATAGTAGAGTTAATAAACCACAGGGTATTTCTTTAACATTTTGGTTCTTAGGAGCTTAAATGTATGTATTGAAGGGAAGGGTATCTGAAGGCCAGGAACAAATGGGTTATGGCTCACAGTGCTTTCTGTTGGAGTGTTTGATGCCCCAGCGAAGCCAGCTGCTTTCTTCCCTAAAGAGTGCCAGTTTTTGGAGGGGCAAAGAAGGAGATGGCTATTGGCTCCCAGCAGAGCTGATGCTGAGGAACTTGACTTCTGTCTATAGCAGGCATAGCTGAGCCCAGGCCTCTTCTGCCCAGCTCAGGCCTGGCCACACACAGTCTAGAAGAGCTGCTCAGAGACAGCATGGGTGGACCTTGCCCAGGTCACCCATCAGAGAAACCTGACCCAGGTGTAGGGGAGATCTCCAGAGAGGTCCTCTCAGAAATTCTTTGACACAGAAAAAAACGTTAGCAGCTAGTGCTCTCAATTTCAAAATTCTGTTTCAAATGTGATTCTGTGAAAGATTGCATACATGCATAAACATTCATTTCTGGTATTGGTTCTGCCATTGTGATTCTCAGGTAAACTGGTCCTGTTGGTATTGTAAGAATTTTTAAAAATGTTCATCATTTGGAAAGTTTCAGCTGAGCTAAGATTTTTTTCAAACACCACTTTGCCTAAATAGGAATGTGAACAGAAAGTTTACTGAACTATTAGTTTGCTCAGATGGTCGTAAAAAGTACCACAAACTATGAAGCTTACACAACAGGTAATTGCTGTCTCACGGTTCTGGAAGCTAGAAGTCTGAAGTCAGGGTGTTGGCAGAGTTGTTTCCCTCTAAGGTCTGTGGCAGAGAGTCTGGTCCATGCCTATCCCAGAGCTTCTCATGGTTGCTGACAATTTGTCAGGGTTCCTTGGCTTGGAGACGCATCACCCCAACCTCTGCCCTCACCTTCATGTTGCATTTCCCTGTACGTGTTTGTGTAAGTTCCCCTTTGTATAAGGACACCAGTTGTACTGGGCCAGGACCCACCCCCATGACCTCATTTTCATTCAATCACCCCTGTAAAGACCCTGTCTCCAAATAAGGTCACATTCTGAGGTCCTAGGGGTCAGGACTCCAACATATCTTCTTTGGGGGATACAGTTTGACCCATAACAACCAACATGATTTCTTACTATCAGTCAAGGGACAGTTCCAGGGGCTTTCTCTGTGTCCAGCACTGTCCTATAAACCATATATAAGGAGCCCCTGTAAGGAGTATGAGGTTCCATCTTCAGGAGGGTCATGAGATTGTACCAAGTAGAATTTTCAGGATGAAGGGAGATCTTTCAGGCCTGGAGGGTAGTGTGGAAAGAGCTTTAGTGTAGATGAGGAGAGGCTGCCTGACTTCCAGGACTGGATGTGTGTGTTGGGGTATGAAGGAGGTCGTAGGAATGGGGAACTGGGATGAGTAACGCCAGATTAGAGAGGACCTTGAAAGGAGTGTGAACTTTTTGATAAGAACTAGGACCATGACAGACTCAAGACTGTGGAGTGGCCTGGTCACTGCTGATTTGAGAATGAGTTGTGTGAGTGTTGAAATATGCAGACAAGAGCTGAGAGGTCTTGTCAGATTGAGGACAACAAGATAGGAGGGGGAAGCCAGGGGAGACCCAGCAAGCCACACACAGTGGACACAGCACATTTGGAGTGGCCGAGGATATTTGCAACATGGATTGGGAATGTAACATTAAGACTGGTTTCTTCCCCAGACCATACCTGGTCAGTCCCAGCTTCCAGGGTCTGTGCTGAATGAACAGATGTGTTGTGTTCAGTGGTATGGGTGGACCTGCCTTTGGTTCCCAAAGAAGAAAGCTGATTCTGCATCCAGGGCTGAGTCTCAGCTCTGGCACAGCCATTGTTGGGAATACTTCATTTTAGAACCCAGGGTGATGGTGACAGGGCTGCAGGATAAACAGTGGTGCTCTCAGAACTTGTGTGCCTCTCAATTGTCGTTCTCCTGGTGGGAAGCTGTGCCCAGCGCATGGAAGCTCATGTTTTTTGACACAGAAGGCCAAGCCACTTTCATGGAAGACTGGCTAGCACCCTTTAGGAAATGAACCTGCAGAATGTGGCATTTGTTGGGGGCCCCAGCAAGGCTGACCCCACCTACTTGGTGGAGTCTCCCACACCCAGCTTCCCTTGAATGGAGTTTTTTTAACCACTGGCTTCATGTCATCAGAGCACATTGGCACTGCCCAGGCATCACTGTTGGAAACGCATCAAGAGGGTGAAGCCCAGCACCAGGGCATGTAGCAGAAGGGATTTGGGGGTGACATTGGGACACATGATGCCTATTAAGTGTCCTTTCATCCCTTGCCTACTGACTGACAACCGTGCTCCTTTCTGTATCTTTTGTTCACTTTTCAGGAGTGCCCCAGCCTCACCCACGCACCCTGGGCTGATGTCCCCTCGTTCGAGTGGCCTGCAGACTCCAGAGTGTGTGTCCCGAGAGGGCTCACCCATCCCACATGACCCCGACTTTGGGTCAAAGTTAGCTGCTGTTCCAGAATATCGGTATTCCCAAAGCGCACCCGGTAAAGAGTGGTTTTATCCTTTTACTGAATGTGGCAGAACTTGAGACAGCAGGGGATGGGACTGGGTGGGCATGAGGAGTCAACTACCCTCTCTCTCTGTCCCTCATCCAGGTTCACCTGTTAGTGCCCAGCCAGTGATCATGGCTATGCCTCCCCGACCGTCCAGTTTGGTAGCCAAGCCTGTGGCCTACATGCCAGCCTCCATAGTGACTTCACAGCAGCCTGCAGGCCACGCGATCCACGTCGTGCAGCAGGCCCCCACGGTCACCATGGTTAGGGTGGTCACCACCTCTGCCAGCTCTGCCAATGGGTACATCCTGGCCAGCCAGGGCTCAGCAGGAGGCTCCCAGGACACTGCGGGCACAGCTGTGCTGGACCTGGGCAGTGAGGCCAGAGGTAATGTGTCTGTGGCCAGTGGCCAGTGGCCTTTGCAGAAATTCAGGGGCTGTCCTGTCCTCTGAGAGGTAGCACCTTCAGCCTAGAAGTGGGGGCTCAAGGAGGATGGTTCTCAGGCATCTGTCCACTCTGCCTATCTTTGTAAATCAGCCTTAATTGTCTTAAAAAGCTTTTTCATTTGTTGAATGGTGCCTTCAAATGCATATAGCTGTTTCCTTGAAATATTTTTTTCCCTTAAGGTAACATTGAATTAAATTGTGAGATTCTGCATAAAATTAGAATTTAACATTTTCTACAGGAGAAAGAATAAGCCTGGCAGGGTAATTCCTTAGAGCAGGAGTCTTTAGAAGAGTCATTTAGAGCAAAGAGCAGCTGTGGATTTCTTCCTAGGAACTCAATGGGGTAGATGTTGAAAATGCAGCTAATACTGTGGAAGATCCTATCAGGAACTCTTTTACATTAAGCAGCATTTCCTACTTGTTGTTACCACTGTTGACTTAATCTCAGCAGTAATTTTTATTTGTCATAATGAAAACACCATTTTGGTAGGGTGGCATCTGTGGCTCAGGTGGGTAGGATGCCAGCCCCATATGCCAAGGGTGGCAGGTTCAAATCCGGCCCCGGCCAAACTGCAACAAAAAAATAGCCGGGCATTGTGGCAGACACCTGTAGTCTCAGCTACTCGGGAGGCTGAGACAAGAGAATTGCCTAAGCCCAGGAGTTGGAGGTTGCTATGAGCTGTGACACCGCTGGACTCTACTGAGGACGATAAAGTGAGAGTTTGTCTCTATAAAAAAATAAAAGAAAATGAAAATACCATTTTGGTGAAGGAAGACTAAAGCAGATCATTTCACTCCAAATAATACATTCTCTTTTTCAGATTAAATTTTGGTTAGTTCAAGTTAAGGTACTTAAAATATTCTTCTAAAATCCTGCTAATTGTCTTATTTGAAAATACGTGTGTATTTCATTGGTGGGACTTTTCTTTTGAAAACCAAAGTTTTCCCTAGTGCTACTACCTTCATCCCCTAATTGGCAGGCTCACTGCCATTGATGCATATCCATCATGGTCAAGGAACCGACTCATTGGTCAAGTGTGGTTGTGACATGGTTCCTGTCCTGCAGGCTTGGAAGAGAAACCCACCATCGCATTTGCCACAATCCCCACGGCCAGCGGAGTGATCCAGACAGTGTCCAGCCAGGTGGCCCCCGGAGTTCCCGGACACACAGTCGCCATTCTGCAGCCAGCCACACCAGTGGCCATTGGGCAGCACCACCTTCCTGTCCGGGCCGTCACACAGAACGGAAAGCATGCTGTGCCTACGAACAGTCTAGCCGGCAGCGCCTACGGTGAGGCCCTGTTCAGGCTCCAAGCTGTGTCCTGAGCTCTGTGGCTCTGCCACAAGTCAGTGCCTCAAATGTTTTTCCACATCACTCAGTCATCCTGTCAGCTCAGTCAATTTACTGAGCGGTTACTGAGCGGCTGCTACACGCCGGGTACTGTGAAGGCTAAGAAAAGAGGGAGGAAGGAAAAATTCAGATCTCTACCCTGTGTGGAGCTTGCACTCCACTGGGGTGAGGCAAGAGGGCTGGCGAGCCCCAGAGGGTGGGCTGAGCCTCCAGGGCAGGTCACCTGCATCACAGAGATGAGGGGTAGGCTGTCAGGTGTCCAGTGGGATCCAGAGAAACACAATAGCATGCGGTGGGTGAGGGGCAGGGGCACTAGGCAGGGCAGAACTTGCCAGGGACTGAGTTCCCTCAGCAGGGCAGAGAGGCTCGGCCACACAGAGCAGGGCACTGGGCTGGTGGGTGTGGGCCTGTCTCAGATTCCCCAAGTAAACCTCGGTAAACTTCTTCTCCCCATCAGCCCTTACCAGCCCCCTGCAGCTCCTGGCAGCCCAGGCGAGTTCGTCCACACCAGTGGTGGTCACCCGGGTGTGTGAGGTGGGGCCCGAGGAGTCAGCAGCAGCTGGCGCAGCAGTGGCCACTGCCACACCAGCCACCACCACCGGCACCACTGTCACCTCAGCCTCTTCCACTGGCGAGCCCGAGGTCAAGAGGTCCCGGGTAGAAGAGCCCAGTGGGACTGGAACTACACAGGCCGGGGTCATCACAGCCACTGGCCCCCAGGGGCCAAGCCCCGGGGAGTGACATCACCTGCACCGGGTAGAGTGGGACTCACCCAGCAGTGCCCAGAGCTGGGCCTGGCAGTGCCAGTGGCCGCGCCCACAGACACAGGAGCTAACAGCGGCCTGCAGTGCCCAGTGAGCAGGTGGCTCAGCAGCAGCCCCTGGACAAACCTAGCCCTTTCCATTTTATCTCCTGTCCTCTCATGGTTCAAAACAAAAACACATAAACAAGTTCAGACAACTGATTGTATGATTCTGGGAATTCTTTGTTTTTTCTCCTCTTCCCTCAGCACCATATCCTCTCCCCAGGCCTCTGTCAGGGGTATGGGGAGAAGGTTGTAGCTCAGCATGTCCAAGAATGTGTCAGATGCCTCCCATGAGTAGAATAAGGCTCCGTGGCTTCTGTGTCTGGTTGAAGGAACAGCCTCATCCCAGGAGACTGGACAGAAGTGGGCAGTACACACCAAGGTCCCCACAGGAAGGACACCAGAGGGACGCATGCCTGTCCGGAGCAGCCTGGGAACGAGCAGAGGAAGGCAGGAGCCAGCTGACTGCACGCTGTTCTGTGGTGTCTTTTCCCCAATGGTGACGTAGAAAGTATCAGCATTAATTTGGAGGGGCCCAGGTTTGGCTTTGGACCCCCAACTATTTCTTATTTTATGTAAACATGGAATTCAAGCTGAGTCGTAAATCTAAGACAAACAAAAAAGATAATTATTTTTGACATGTTATTTTGTTTTCATCTTCAGACAGTTTAACAACTATAGGTGTGGGGTTCTTACTGGCATTAGGCCCCTCGAAGAGTAAACCTGCCACTCTGTCTGCTAACTTCAAGTAAGATGGACGGCGTCCTGCCTGGTGTCTGCGAGTGAAAGTCATTAGGATGAGAGATCAGACTTGAGCCAGCCCTCCTGCCCCTGGCACTGGAGGCGAGAGGAGGCTGCCTACTCTGCGTGGAGGACCTGCCATGTTCACCAGTGGCTTTGTCATCCTGAGGTTGATGGATACAGTGGGACCTACCAGTGTCAAGCGCAGTCTGCCCATGCTGCTTGTCCCCAGATGACAGCTTCCTGACCACCCAGTTCTAATCTTCTGTTGTAAATTTGAATGCTTTTTTCTCCCTGACCTGAATGAAGCACTAGGGCCCTGGTCAGCCAGCAGAAAGGAGACCTCCATGCAGCAGTCGGTGAGCAGGCTGTGCCCACCACGTTCCACTCCCACTAACTGACTTGGCTTTGTAGCCAGCACAGTGAGAACCAAAGGACAGGCTGCTCTGAATGATCCTGTGGCTCCCAGGCCCCCTCAGGATGTCCCTGTACCAGAGCCAGGGCTGGCTGGTGTTTGGCTCGATTTGGGGATGAGATTGGAGTCCTTCAGCTTCTCACATTTTCAGGAAATGCTACATCCATCTACATAAAGATTGACTTTAAGTTTTATCAGTCAGTCTGATACTGGTTTTCCTAGGAGCAGACTACAACTAGAAAGGACAAGTTTGAGAGGTCGAGAAGTCTCAGATGAATGGCTGTTGTTAGAAGTAGCCTGTCCTCAGCATCCCAGCCTTAGCCATGGCCCTGGTGGAGAAGCTGCAGAGAGATCCAGTTTCCTGGAGAGTGTCTGAGGGAACAGCAGATGGTCCCACAAGAACCAGGTCCTAGGTGGGCATGGGCTGCCTTAAAGGGACACACCCTTCAAAATGATTCTGAGGTGGTACAGAAGACTGGCAGCCACTGTGACCAGGCCACAGCCACACCAGGGCCACTGCCCCCCAGGACAAGTGTAGAATGTCCGCCAGCTTCCTCTTTTCTGTCTGGGAGGGAAAATCCCCATTCTGTTGTTTTTTTAAGCCCCTCTAACCAGTTGTTTCTATGGCACTAAACTCTAAGTGGGAAATAAGCTCTTTTTTGCAGTCCATACCTGTTGCCTCCGGATGGGAGGAAAACAGCTGGGGGTGCATCCTCAGGTGTCATTCCTGCTACCCACAATGCTCTCTTTTCCATACTCATAGTTTCTGGTATTTGTGTGAACTTTTTCCTTCCAGTGTGCCTGGTGCGTGCATAGGTGGGAATGAGCAGGTGGGGCAGTGAGGTTGGCCGCGCAGGAGCTCTCTAGGGTCTGTCACAGGGGCTTCAGGGCCGCCTGCTGCTACTTCCTGTCCTACTGACTGTTTCTTCCCAGAGGTGCATGTGGTCACCCTCAGAGGAGAGCTTTGTTTGTTTTTGGATTGTCCCATCTGCCCTAGGTTTATCTCCTTATGAAAGCTGATGTCATCTGCAGAGAGCACCCAGTGCCAGCCAGAAAAGAATGCTGTTTACAAAGTGTTTGCTTGCATCTTTGCCTGGTCTGATCAGTCTGCATCCAGCCCATTTGCTTCCTGGCTTTGAGATGTTTTGGTTTCTGTCCTTTTTCACTCTCATATTTATGCCAGTTCCAGGCAAAGGAAAAGAACGGGAGGGGATGGATGACCAGGAAACGGAGAGGACAGAAATTGGGGGTGACATCCTGCCACACAGAGTCAGCACCTTTTAGCTTCTGCTGGGACTGAGAAGAGAAGTGGCCCTAGAGGTCAGCTCAGACCCCAAATGGGGCAGCAGAGGAGGGTTGGGCTGAGGAACTGCCACTCAGGACTTGTAAACAATGAGGTTTTTAAGAGTTTTAGCCATCTGACCAGGTAGCATGCCTAGCTCGTGCCAGAACTAATCCTGGAACTGGTAACTGGAGGCCCAGGAATGGCTGGTGACTAGAGGAGCTGCACATCCTGCCCAGAGCTCTCTCTTGTCTATGAGCCAACCAAGTGAGAGTCTCTTTGCTGAACTCACCCACAGAAGCAAGAGCACAGGCCAGGGAGACCAAGAGAGCCACAGCCTGTGGTCTGGGTGGCCTATTACCCCCTATGGTTTAGAATGAGGGCCCAGGTGACTTTCTCTGGGTTGTTAAGGGTGAACTGACCCTAGCAGTGTCAAGTGGGGGAATGAAAAAATTTGATTCCAGTATGATACCAGAGGCTTTTGTTCACCCTAGGGCTCAAATCTCTGGCATGACTTGCGGGAGATCAGCCAGGTTGAGGTGATTATTCTGGGAAGAGCTCCCTCCTGCTTTGGGCCCTCTCATGGGTGCTCCCTCTTAGGCCCTGAAGCCTGGTAACCCTCTTCTTTCTTCTGCTTCTTGGTTGACAAATTACCAGGTTTACCAAATGTAGGAAAACATATTCTTTGAATAAGAATTAGGTCACAAAACTTGTTAGATAGTTGAGCATGTGCCCATCAAGACAGTCGAATATGCTATGGGAAGTGAAGAGAATTGTACCTTTCCACCTGCTGCCAGAACCATGCTTGGCCCAGGGCACTTTCTTTCATGCTGGCTCCTGCCATCAGCCCAGGGTCCATGGTGCAGCAGAGCCATGGGTCACAGAGAGACCCAGGTCATCCCAGGTGGATGGTGCACATCCATCCTTAGCTGTTTGCATCTGTCTTTCCATTCTGAGGTTTCCCTGGTAACATCTAGCCTCTGTTGAGTGTGGAGAGTCTGTCATTCAAAGCCTTTGAGGCATTAAAGTAGAACATTGCTTTTCTAAATCCTTAAAAACGATACACCTAGAACCTAGAACCCTTTGTCCCAACTTGAATCCCCTCTTGGAGTTAAGGCTGTGCATGGCCAGACAGACCTGCAGTGCCCCAGTTCTCTCCCTGATTTCACCTTAGAGGTTGCTGTGTGCTCAGGGAAGACAGAACCATGTGGTCTGGTCCCCTTTGCACAGTCCTTCGAGACCGGTGCTGAAAAGACCCAAGGAGTGTACTGAGACCAGGGAGGCAGAGACCCACGAACACCACACCAACAGCCCCCTTCAGGTCTGCTTTGTTCCTATTGGGGTTTGCTATTGATTTGTATTTTCTTTATCTCTTATCTAAGAACTAAGCCAATGAAAATGATAGAAATGAATTTCTGAGTTGCTGAGTATTGTGTGATGCGAGGGACCATTCTTTGTGTTTCTCAAGCCAGGAATGGGTCTGGTGGTGCTTTGCTAACACCTCCCTTCCCTGTGCCACAGATGCTCCCAGCCCCCGAAGTTCTCTGCTGAGGCTGATCTTGGCCTCCTAGCTTCTAGATCTCTTTTGTGTACCTGCTAGTCCTGATGAAAGATTGGTCTGGGGTCACAGGCATCACTCATTTCCTCTAAATAAGGAGTGATCTCCACAGACTCTTTAAAGTGAGTACCAGTGTCCAGAGACCCGTGTCCAGGGCCACCTCTCTCTGTAGAGAAAAATCCCTCCGTTATGCAATCCAGAGTTCAGAAGGAGGAGAAAGATTTTCCTTGGCTTTGAAATCATTGTCTTATTTTATAGAGACAAAGAATACACCCCATTGGAAACAATGAAAACCGTTGAATGTGAAAATGTTTGAGAAGAAAGGCTTTTTCTCAGAGCTTTAGAGTTAGTGGGAGAAGTTGTCTGTTTCTCTTCAGAAGCCTCAAATTCTGCTTGGCACTTCAGTTACTTCATCTGGTGTGAGGGATCGTTGCTGTCTCTGGAGAGGATGCCTGAGTCTGTCCTCTGCACCAACTCACTCCTCTGAGAGCAGAGCCCCCTGACAGGACAGCAGAATAATGGGTGACCTGCCTCTGCCCCCTGCACTGAGTAGACACAGCTTGCTCTGGAGTGACAAGAAATGATTGTGAGCCTCTCTGTGAGTCAGAAGAGCTCCCAGGATGCTGAGCTGAAGCCTTGTCCATGCCGTGAGCCACTCAACTGCAGAGGTCAGCAGGGGCAGCCCTGGCCACCTCGCCACACTCCTGTCGGGGCTCATGTGAAAGTGTGTTTGCCACTGCCTAGTCTCACCTCCTTCATGATACCTCTGCCTAGAAGCAATATTATTTAATAAGAATAATTTAAATTGTTCAATTGTGCTGCTATGAAGATAGGATTAATCTTTAGATGGGACTTATTATTGGAGGTTCCCTGATACATATTTTGGCTTTTTGAAGTTAGGGCAGAATAGAGAATGTAACACATGGTCTCTTGCTCAGTTTCTCTCTGTTATTTTTAAATTGTTTCCCTGCATCTTACAAGTTCCTTGGCATTTTATAAGTTCCCTCCTGCAGGCCTTGTTTTAAACATTATGTTTTTTTAAATGCTCAGGACACAGTTTTTATCATCTGCATACCTGTCTTTGCTATGGTTTGGTGCAAGACATCTGCTACTTCTGTTTTCTTTTAGTACCACAAGCTGCTACATTTGATGACCAGTGGGAGGGTTTGGAATCACTGCCTTGTGGGGTGTCTTGGGTAGCACTGCAGCCCCCTGCAGGGCAGTGAGCTGGACCATGTGCCTCATGACGGGACCCTTCCCAGGTGGCTTGAATTTGTGGAAGGATCATCCATGGGAGCTGCTGCTTTATTATCTGTCCTCCGTTACCCAGCCCTATAGCTTCCAAGTGACAGCTGCTTAGAAGACTGGGATTTTGTGACACACAACCATGAGTGTTTCCTCTGAACTGAAATTATAAATAGGCCCATTTCACTGACTTTGTTTATGAAAAGTAGTTATACTCTTACTTTAAAAAAAAGTCACTTGTGAGTTGTCTCTGTAGCCTACAGACACTGAAGCTGTCTCTGCTGTCCTGCTTTCCAGCCTGGCTTGTCCCCCTCCTGCCAGTGCAGCTCTGCTCCTCAGTGCTGCCATACAAGGGAACACACCAGAATGCATCCTGGCAGCTGGGCACCCAAACAGAGTTGCTGCCTTGGTGTGAGGCTGGCCTGACTAACCCTGACGGGGAGAAAGTTCTTGGGGGCCAAAACAAGTTTTGGGGGGCCACCTAGCAAGAGGTGAGAAGTGGGGAGTCACTGATGGACCTCTCTGAGGCTGTCACATAAAGTCTGTTGCAGCTTCTTGGAGACCAGGACCCTGCCCTGAGGAACAGCCTTGTCCTCAGAGTGAGAAGCCTGTAGGTCAGCAAGTAGAGGCCTCCTCAGACTAGGAGTGTGACACACAAGCTCTGCCTGCCACCAAAATGGGCATTTTTACAATATTTCAGGACACGACTGAATTAGCCTTAGGGTTTAGTTTCTGTGACTGGTTCTGGCTTTCTCAGTGTTTGAGAAAGTAGTTGAGGGAGCAGTCACTGCCATTATGCATCTTCCTTCCTCTCCTGGGAAGCCCTCCAAGGATTTCATGTGTTTCTTTGCTTTGGCTGAGCAGCAGGACATGGCCTAATGAGCTCAATGCATCTCAAGGTCCATTCTTCAGGTTCAGCCAGACTGCCAACTGTGACTGCTAGGTTTCTGGGTCACTCTCATCTTTTTGCTCCTTACCTAGTTATCCTACGAGAGTTAGAATAGAATTAGAAGAATCCTACTTTATTATTCTTTCTTTTCTGCCTGAATAGGATTTAAAAATTTTTTTTTATTATTATTGAGGTAAAATAGACTATCTCTCTAGTTGTTCTTTATCTGGGACTCTCTTTTCTGGAACAGTTGCTTATTTGATTCACCCAGATATTCACTGGTGGCTTCCTCTGTGTCAGACACAGTGAGGATAGAGCAGGGGGCTGGGCCCAACGGGGGTTGGCTGGGCACCCCTCGCTCTGCCAGGGTTTTGTTCTCTGTGAGCTGGGAGTCATTCTTCCAGAGCTTTTGTCCAGAGTCACAAGCAGTGGCTAGAACTGTCCCCTGGATTTCTGAATGTGTTGGCTGAGCTGAACCAAGACGTGTGACTCTGAATGAATTTGTTTTTCCTGTATGATGTTAAACTGCTCTGGTGTGTGCTGGTCACCCCTGGAACTTGAGGATGCAGGAGCTGTGACCCCAACACTGCACTCTAGCCTGGGTAACAGAGCCAGACCCCGTCTCAGAATAAATAAATAAATACATAAACCATGCCTGTGGCCTCTAAATTCTGGATTTACTGGTCCAGCTTTTTTTTTTTTTAATTTTCCTTTTTTTTAATCAGTAAAAATTGGGACTTTAAAATCAAGGCCTTGCTCCCTTCCTTTGTAGAAAGGCTTCTTGGGTACCTCACATGCCTGCTTCTATATACCTGGTTTCTGTTTTGGGGAGAGGAGAGACAGAGCCGTGCTCTGGGTTGTCCTGAGAGGTGGCTGCGTCCAGATCCTCAAGCTCTAACATCCTGCAGTGTAGGCCGTCAGCTGTGGCACACTCAAGGGAGGGGTTAAAGCCAATACTGAGATTTTGTTTTTATCTGAATAATAATTCTCCTGTAAAAATAATTTGGGAGGGGCGGGTGTTTGGGGTGTGTGTGTGTATATGTGTGTATGTATTTTTTTTTTTTACAGTGGCTGTCTAAAGTATTTTTCACAATATGTTTAATAATCAATGCTTTAAAAAGCAGTGGTATCCTATAAAGTAGAAATTTGGGTTCTGGAGTGTTGGGTATGAGGGTGGGACACGTCAGGGGGCTGTGCCTCACCCCAAGGAGGGAACAGCAGCACTGGGAGGCTCAAGTGCCACTGCCAGGGGGCAGACAGCCCTATGTCCACAGCGGGCAGCCTTGTATGTTCATTTCAAATGGGATACAGTATTTTTTTAATATGGAGCCATACTTTTTTTTTTTAAAGTTTGAGATCTGAATGTGATTTCTAATTGTATCAGACGTTAATGTTTTAAAGCTATAACAAAGTTTAAAATTTCTACTTTTTGTTTTTCATTTATTTTAACTGTTCTTTTATCTATTAAATTGTTGTATGTGGATGGGGAAGTTTTGTTTCTCCTCTTAGCATTTGTTTCTATAACCAGAAATAAAATTATATATTAAAGAGATGACACTGAGGCTCTGTGTGGTGCAATTGAATGGGCTGTGCTGAGGGATGGTGTGTGGACAGATGCTTAGTCTGGATATACAGCCAGCCTCTGTGCCCTGAAGTGTGAGCCCTGGAGCCCCAAGATGCTCAGGAGGCTGCAGGGGGCTGGGAGCTGTGTTGAGGGTGTCCCATTCCTGGGAAGAGGCTGCTGAATGTATAGGTGCCTGTGACCATGGCCTAGGCGATCCCCTGGGGAATCTCGGAATGTGATGACAACTTGGGCCTGCCCCTCAGACAAGGCAAGGGAGGAGCCAGCAAGCCCCCCTCCAAGAACCAGCCCACAGCTTGGATTGCCTGGGCAGGAAGTGTGGAGGGAGGTGTGCCTGCAAGTGCCCACAGCTGGGTGCTTCCTGCTGGCACTGAGCTAGATGAGGATTTCTACCTATTTCATGTCTGTTTTCTCTGAGGCCTTTCCTCTTCCAGGTGTAGGGGGTGAGGGTGGGAGTCAGGTGAGCATGCCACTGACCTCAGAGCCTGACAGACCTAGGGTCAGGGTCCAGCTGCAGTTTAGCTTGCAGTACACGGAATTTCTTCACATGCAGATCCACAGCTCTGCTTCAAAGAGTTTTGTGTGGATTGAATGAGGTGGCACCCAGACCCAGGCTGGCAGAGCACTCTGTTCACGTCAGCTGAGTGGAGGTGCCCCCCTCTTCTCTCAGGGCCCCCAGATTTAAAAGAAGACACTTGAGTGTTTCTGCTGCAAACTACCACTGGCTGGAGATTTTATAAGAATGTGTTTCTCACAGGTATGTTTGCACGTGTGACACATTCAGCTAAATAGACAACTTGCATTTTTCAGATTTTGCATTTGTCCACAGTTACAGCTGAGGTTTGAACATTTCTCTGCTTTCCTCTGGTTACTCTATTGTCATTGTAAGATTCTAGCTACAGGTATTAACACACACTTAACAGATCTAATACACAGAGTTGCCATAAAGCTCATGTACAATTTTAAACTGCACTTTATGGATACCCTGTATTCAGGATTTCAGCCAAATACCCAACCATGAGTAAGAATAATTAAATTTCCTCCAGGGTGTTGCACTGGCTAATTTGTATCTCCTTTTAAGTTTTAGTCTTTTTAAATTCTGTTTTTGATTAGGACAACCATTTCACTAGTGAGACCTTAAAATAACATTTTACACAAATATAAGTTTTCTGTATTTTTTTTTTTTT